CTTTCTTTCTTTCTTTCTTTCTTTCTTTCTTTCTTTCTTTCTTTCTTTCTTTTGGTGTTTTAAAGACAGGGTTTATCTGTATTGCACTATAGACCAGGTTGGTCTGAAATTAAGAAAATCCAACTGCACTTGAGTGCTGGGGTAAAAGGTATGAACTGCCACCAAGCAGTTAATGGTGGATCTTAAAACCTTAAATGATCCAGATTAAAGATGAGTCTTTAATTTCAAAACCTTAAAGAAAAGTCCCTCACAGATGTACCCCACTCTTTAGGTTTTAGTTATTTCCAGAGTTACTCAGTTTGACTACCAAGAATAGCCATCGCAACAGTCAAGAAGAAATGAGAAAGATTTCTTACCTGCAGGAGGCAAGAACAGCATGAGAGTTATTTCCAAAGCAATGCTTTTCCTAAACAAAAGAAGAATGTAGATTTTGCATAGGGAGTGTGGACACATTCACATAGAGTTCTGCCAATTTCTAAGTATGCTCAGTTAACAAATCCATCTTTTTAAAAAAGATTTATTACTTATTATGTATGCAATGTTCTGCCTATATTCTGCCTGCAGGACAGAAGAAGGCACCAGATCTCATTACAGATGGTTGTGAGCCACCATGTGGTTGCTGAGAATTGAACTCAGGGCCTCTGGAAGAGCAGTCAGTGCTCTTAACTTCTGAGCCATTTCTCCAGCCCAATAAATCCACTTTTGAACATTATCACAATGTAAAACCAGAGGCATTTAGGGACATTCTTACCTCAAAGTCATGCAGGAACAAATAAATTATAAAAAATGATGGAAAGAAATGCCTCTGGCATGTGAATCTTGTACCAAAAGATTTTAGATGAAAATCAAGGAAATGATGCTATGAAAATAGACTACTTTGGAGCCTATGTGACCTGTCAAGTCTTGATGATTGATCTGAAATGTATCTGCACCAATGTCACAATTCTCACAAATACAAAAGACAGAGAACACAAATACAGAAAGTTTCAAGGAAAAATCACCTAAGAGTACTACATACTCTGTTCTTAGATGAATGGTTGTGATGAATTCTATTAACCTTAGAACAAATCTACCTCCTGTGAGCATGCTGGCTTAGCAGACCACAGCTACTTTCATACAAGATCAGGAGGAGTTCAATTTAAGTAGTCCTTGCTGCTGTCTGTCTCAGGGCTGTGACATCACTAGAGAATTTTAGTCTTTCCTTTTCCTAACTTTCTAAAAAAATTAGTTAGGGGTGTTTTATCTGCATGTATTCACAGTACCTACAGAGATGAGAATGTTGAAGATGCCTGGGAATGGAGTTACAGCAAATGATTAGCTACTATGAGAGTTCTGGGAATGGTACACTGGGTCCCTAGTGCTCTTAGTTGCTGAGCCTTGTATCTAGACCTTTTTTAAAATTTATTGCCATAAATTGTTAATTAATAGATATTACATCACTTTAAATCTCTTCATTCCATCCCATTGAAAAATCCCTTCCAAATTCTTTCTTGTTATGTATGGGTGAATATATATGCTGAAATAGAAGAACACAGCCTACTGCATCCATTTTTGGTGATCGTATATATGTGAATAATGGGTTGACCATGTTCCATTGGATGAACAACTAGGAAATTCATCCTGCCTAAAACTAATTCTCTCAAATGTTGTTATCAGCTGTTCTGGTTGTGGGATAAAACCAGAGCAGCAGCTTGGGCAAGTAGTAATTCTGTGCCCTTGGATATCTGTGACTATCTTAAATGGAGTGCTCTTGCCTTGATCCTAAACATTGACCAAATACCTGTGAAAAAGAATTGCAGGAAGGCAAATCTCTGTGTTTACCTAGGAGACAGGAACAAACACCTGGCAGTGGGAAACTTTTCACACATAACCCGAAGGCATAGGAAACAGTTCGGAACTGTGGGAATTAATTTCCAAATATGTAACAGAAAGGGTGTTGGCTACAGCAAAGACAGTCACTTATTCACAAAGCAATAAGGCTAAAAAGTCTTGTCATTTGATTTAAAGAGCTTTACATAAGCCCCTGACTTTGATAAGCTGCTAATGAAAAGATGGCTGAGCAATTACTGTATAATGTTGCAGCTTGTAGCAGTTTGCCTTTTAAATATCAGCTGATCGACTGAGTAACCTTCTGGATCCCATGAATCAGGCTTAGCAGTAACCACCTTTTCTCATAAAAACTACTCACTGGCATTCATTTGTGGTTCTGAAAAAGTGTTATGAACAAGTGTTTGGTCCTCAAAATAAAGTAACACATTCCACACACACAGAAGAAAAACAAAAGAGATAACAATATATCATCTTCATTTACAAGCAGGATTTATTATTCAATTTCTCCTGTTTTCCATTATTCTTTGATAAAAAAATACGTTTACAATCTGAAAAGAGAACCATATTTTACTTTTGTAATGTTTCAACTAATCTTATTTGAGCATCAATGAAACAATTATGTTGGAAATGTCTGTGTTGAGCAAGTCTGGACAAAAGTAGATCCCACAAAGTTGTCTTCTGGTCTCCACATATCTGCCATGTCCTAAAAACCCACATTACATACATATACAACAATTTAAAAAAAAAAACCTCTCATTGCCATTACATCATCTGGCATCTCTGGAAGATGATGTACCAAATGGATAACTGATGAAGACATGAAGACTCATGGAATTTAAATAATATATACATATCCATACCACATCATTATATTGTGAAGCATACAGTTGATTTCTGATTATCAATCATTATTACATCTCTTCCAGATAGATGAAAATGCTTTTTGGATATACTCATGAGGTATTTAATGTTTTTTATATTCTCTATTAAGTATTTTAACATTAACAGTGTTAAAACATTTTGACAAATCAGCAAACTTTGGGAGTACATCATCTACCCTTAGTCTTGTACTTAGGAGACTGATACATAAGGATTATGATTTGAAATGTATCCCTGACTAATTGCTGACATCAAGCCAGACTAGATAACAAACAATATTTCAAGGGAATTTGTGAAAAAATAAAACCAGGAACAAAATCTCACCACCCATTAATAAACACTTACTTGAATATGATCACACACTGCTAATATTTAAATAAAAGTGGATCATTTAGATAATGGCCATACCATTCCATACATTGCAGCAGGAAAATATCTCTCACCAAGTGAAAGCATAATAAATGAACAAAAGCCACAGAAGAAACCTAAGAACCACAAAGTAAATTTTGTGGTGATATCTTATTTGTACAAATAAAGCATGCCCAACAATTAGAGGGCAGAGCTAGCCATTAGCTAACCATTGAGGTCTGGAGGTCTGCACAGACAGACAGGAAGGGATATGGATGGGCAGAGAGAGGAAGTGATGAGACAGGAGAAGACATGAGCTCAGTTTCTTTTCAGCTGGGGAGTTGAGTAGGGAAAGTAGCTGTGGTTTGCTCCTTCATCTCTCTGATCTCTTGGCATTTTTTTCTCTTATCTTATCCTGGGACTTTATTACTAATACCTATTAGAACTTGTGCTACAAAATTCATTAAATGGATTTGCTACACATATAGTACACTTTTATATCTACCTCCCATGTTGCAAAATAGAAGCCACAATGTGAGCCTCACATAAGTCTTTACTGAACTTGATTAATAATTTATTTACTTCAAGGCTACAATGAAAAAGAGATGAAACAAGTTTTTTTCCTTGAAATTAAGACAACTGTGATGTCAAAAGTCTTTACCAATTTGTTTACATGAATAGGGTTTTTCTCTTGTATGAGTTCATCCCTATTTACTGATATCAAGATGATAGAAAGCTTTAAAATATTTTCAGGGCTAGAGACATCATCAAGCCCTTAATGCAAGTTCATTGCCAGGACCAAGGTCAGATTCTGACAACTTTCAATAATTCCTGCTACAAGAAGCTACAAAGGTCTAACCTTCTTGGAAACTAGAACACACATGCACATACCCACACAAAGACACAGTGACATGGCATAATTAAATTAAAACAAATCCTGAAACTAATTTTCACTCATGTCTTTCTATTGTAATTCCTGTAATACAGGTGTTGAGGCATCTAAAGGTTTACAGAGTTTTTCTCCATTATGAATTGGATCATGTAACAGAAAGCAAACATGCTGGCTTGAAGTCAGTGAAATCAATCATTCTCAGTCTGTGGTATCATATGGGAAGAGTTAGGAAAAGTTGCCCTGCTGGAAGAAATATGTCACTGGGGTTGGCCTTTACATCTGCACACCATTTCCAGTTTATCCTTTCTGCTTCATGCTGCAGGTTAAAGATGTGAATTTTTGGCTTCTTATTTTAACTGCCATGTTTGACACTTGTTTCTAGGTCATTTTCACAGTGGTCCTGTATTTCTCTGGAACCAAGGGCCAAATTAAACCCTGACATAAGTTCACTTAAACATGGTGCTTTATCACAGCAACAGAAAAGGCACTAATACACATCCATGAAGTTTTATACCTAGATTCATTATCTCATTTAATTGAAGAGAAGTATGAAATCTATAAAAGGTTACCTTATCATTTAAATTCATAGGCCTATCATCCATGTGAGTTTGTAGGTGTAAACAAAATAAAGAGGGACATCATAATGCTTGAACAGTTCCAAGAATCTAACCTTGGGAATCAGAATTAACATGAACATACCCACACAAAGAAACAGTGAAATGGTATAATTAAAACTAAAACAAATCTTGAAATTTAAACATAGTGCTTTGTCACAGCAACAGAAAAGGCACTAATACACATCCATGAAATTTTATACCTGGATCATTTTCTCATTTAATTGAAGAGAAGTATGAAATCTAAAAGGGTTACCTTAATTTAAATTCATAGGCCTTTTGTTCATGTGAGTTTATGGATGTACACATTAGAATGCTTGAACAGATTGTTGACACATGTCACATTATTTTCTCTATAATAAATACTCTTGTGTAATAGAAATTAAGTGTGGTTCCTAAAGATCTTATCAAATCATTTATATTCAGATTCCCTGTGGTATAATTTATTTTTCATATCCTCAAGTCTAATGTTATATTGAAAGACTTTACAGACTAACAACATACTAAAAGTTTTATTCTTGTATGAAGAACAATAAAGAACAAGAACCATGGCTTACAAAACTCTGCCACATTAACTACATTCAGATGGTTTCTTTGCAGTATGATTTTTTTCTTATGATTTTAAAGATTACTCGTACATTCAAAGGTTTTATCACATTGATTATATTTGTAGGATTTCTCTCCAGTATGTGTTTTTTTATGTATTTTAAGATTGCTATGATATGCAAAGGCTTTCTCACATTGATTGCATTCATAGGGTTTCTCTCCAGTATGTGTTCTTTTATGCATTTGAAGAGTATTGTGTTGTGCAAAGGCTTTATGACATTGATTGCATTCATAGGGTTTCTCTCCAGTGTGTGTTCGTTCATGCATTTGAAGGTGACTGTGATATGCAAAGGCTTTACCACACTGAGTACACTGATAGGGTTTCTCTCCAGTATGTATTCTTTTATGCATTTGAAGAGTACTGTGTTGTGCAAAAACTTTACCACATTGATTACATTCATACGGTTTTTCTCCAGTATGTGTTCTTTCATGCATTTGGAGACCATGTTGGGATATATAGGCTTTACCACATTGATTACATTCATAGGGTTTCTCTCCAGTGTGTGTTCTTTTATGCATTTGAAGAGTACTGTGATGAGCAAAGGCTCTACCACATTGATTGCATTCATAAGGTTTCTCTCCAGTATGTATTCTTTTATGCCTTTTAAGACCACTATGATGAGCAAAGGCTTTACCACATTGATTACATTCATATGGCTTCTCTCCAGTATGTGTTCTTTTATGCATTTGAAGAGTACTATGATGAGCAAAGGATTTACCACATTGATTACACTCAAACGGTTTCTCTCCAGTATGCGTTCTTACATGCATTTGAAGAGCACTGCGCTGGGCAAAGGCTTTATCACATTGATTACATTCATAGGGTTTCTCTCCAGTATGTGTTCTTTCATGTATTTGAAGATGACTCTGATTTGCAAAGGTTTTACCACATTGATTACATTTGTAGGGTTTCTCACCAGTATGTGTTCTCTTATGTATTGTAAGACAAATGTGATATGCAAAGGCTTTACCACACTGATTACATACATATGGTTTCTCTCCAGTATGTGTTTTTTCATGCCTTTGAAGATGACTGGGATACACAAAGGCTTTAGCACATTGGTTGCATTTGTAGGGTTTCTGGCCAGTATGTGTGCTTTTATGTATTTTAAGACCACTGTGATATACAAAGGCTTTACCACACTGATTGCATTGATAGGGTTTCTCTCTAGTATGTTTTCTTTCATGCATTTGAAGATGACTGTGATATACAAAGGCTTTTCCACATTTATTACATTCATACGATTTCTCTCCAATATGTATTCTTTGATGCATTTGGAGATTACATGCAAAAGCTTTAACACATGGATTACATTCATAGGGTTGCTCTCCTGTATGTGTTCCTTTATGTATTAGGAGACTACTCTGATATCCAAAGGCTTCACCATATTGAATACCTTCATAGTTCTCTCCAGTATAAATTCTTTGATGCCTTTGAAGATGACTGTGATATGCAAATGTTTTAACACATTGAGTATATTCAGGTTTCTCTCCAGAATGACTTCTTTTGTGCCTGCAAAAAAATTGGCACATGTAAAAACTTTACCACCTTCATAACACTGCTGGGCCTTTATATTTGTATGAATCAATTTTACTATTTGGTCTAATTGTAAACAGTAATTAGAACTTAAGTTTTTTCATTGGTTTACACTAATGTTGTTCTCTTTCATTGAGAGTTATTTTACACATTAAAGATGCCTGTTATGTTAAGAGTCTTTATTACCTGGTTCACATTTATGGCATATTTTTCTCTATGAGATTTTTCACATATTTGATGAGAACTGAAAAGAATTCAGACCTTTACCCCACTTATTCCATTGATAAATTTTCCTATACTGTGAGTCATACTACATTTGCAAAGTGAACCAGGACAAACAGAAGTATTTACACATTTCTAGTACTCATAGGGTTTTTCTGTATTATCAGTTTGTTGATGTATTATCAATGTAGCTGGAAAACCAACTGCTTGTAAACCCAATTCACATTCAACAAATTTATTCAACATGGGGACAACTACATATCTTCTAATTGTTCTTAAAGGAGAGAGGTACATTGCTCCTTTTCATATCCCTACATTCATATAGCTTGATTACAGAGTGACATATAACATACCTATTAAGGAAGGAATAACAAATAAAAGGTTTCCACATTGCCTTCACACACTATGACTTTCTGTTCCACATAGACGTATGGCATAGGGATTAAGGTTTCTCTACAACTCCCCCTAGCTCTTGACTCTAACTACCTACCCATCTAATTAAACTTAGCAAAGTTAGAACAACTATATGAATAATACTAGTTTTACTATGGCCTACTTGTTTATTAGAGGTTTTCAACATATACTTATCAATTATTCAATGAGTATATCTTTTGTAATATGAGTGGCATGAAACTAAATGGATTGACTATTTTACAGCATGGATCTGATGGAGCAATGAATGATTTCAATGGTGATATCTGTTAAGGCATTGATTCCTTGTCTTCCTTCTTAAAAGCATGACTTACAGACATAATTCAATCACCTGCCATTAAAGTATATGGTTTTGGATAATTTAATGATCATCAATGCATTTTAAGTTGTGAACACTTACACCGCTGGCTTTTCCTGAAAACTTCCAGAAGCATTTAAAATATCTTCAGAGGCACATTTGTATCTACTTACACATTAAGATTACCTTTTATGTCTTCGAGAACTGTGACAATGTTCTTCAATATTATGATCTTCCCATTTGTATCCTAAAATACAGTACCAGGAAATGTATGATATACTATTGGAAATTGTGTAAAATTTAAGTTACTCTCTTCAGTGATCCTTAGAACCATGCCTGATTTATTAACCTCATTCTTCTTTATTCTCAATAAAAGAATACAGAAGAGCATCAATAGCAAAGAAACAGTTGTCCCTTTAATTCAATACATGAAGAATTCACAGTATTACCTATAGCAGTGAGGTTCATATAAGTCTCCAGCATCACATCTTTGTAGAGATTCTTCTGGGAATGATCAAGCAAAGCCCACTCTTCCCGAGTGAAGTCAACATGCACATCATTATAGGTCACTGGATCCTAAAATATGTCATACGTGCATACAACAAAAAACATACTGACAACATTGTAAATGTATACTTCTTTGACAATATAGTCATATAATTCTGGTGTTTCCCACACTTTTTCTAGGACACAGACATGTAATATAACCATCAATTCACTTTAGAAAGAAGCTGAATAGGTTTACCTCTGTCATTTCTGAATGCTCTGAATGGGACATCGCCTTGCAAGAAAAATGCATACCGACATAGACAAGCAAGCAGATCAACAGTATGGAGTACACATCAGAGAAATTGTATGAACAATTACTAACTATAAAAAATATGAGCAGGCTGGGTGTTTTGGCTCATGACTTTAATCCCAGAAATCAGAAGGCAGAGGCAGGTATATCTGCCTCTGAGGTGAATGATACACTAGTCTATGCAATCAGATTCACGACAGCAAGAAGTAACTATTAAGCATCTGTCTCCCTAAAAAAAATCAATCAAACAAACAAAAAAGATTGAAAGAACTCAGGGTTTGTTTTACTGAAGTTTCTACAAATAGTTATGCATTCACTCCAGATCTGTATTCATTTTCCAGAAACCTAAAGTGCTCTAGTTTAAACTGTAACTTTAATAAATCTTAATAAAAGGAACTGTGCATTTAAACAGTTACAAATAGACAGATGAAAACATTTGCAATGTAAATGTTGGTCACAAATAATCAACACAGGGCAGAAGAGATGGCTCAAAAGTTAAGAGCCCTTCCTGGTCTTGCATTTAAGTGTGTTCAATTGACATTCCAAGCTCAGGGCTTCTTTTGACTACTGCTAGGATCAGGCACACATGTGGGGCATACCCATGTATACAGGAAAAAGAATCATATTCATTAAAGAAAAAAAACATAACAAGCAGGAAGAATGCTACACACCTGTAATTCAGGTATTTATGAATACTTCCTGGATCATGAATACTGCCATCCTAGGAAAGAGATTGATACTCCGCCAAATTTCAAAATCTAAGCTGGGGTAAAGCTCAGCAAAAGAGCATATGCTTGACATGTACAAAAACCTATACTCTAGGCCTATCACCCAAGAACATACATAAAACCCCAGGAATGTTAGCCCACCTTTAATCCCAGCATTTGGGAGCAAGAGTCAAGGGAATCTCTGAGTTCTGGGCTATCCTGATCTACAGAGCAACTTTCAGGACAGCCAGGGTTTCTCAGACAAACATTGTTTTCAGAAACAAAAATAAAACAACAACAAAATTTAAAAAAAAACCCTCAGGCCAGCAAAATGGCTTAGCACTGAATAATAATTAGTTCAAATTTATCTTATGTGATTTAGTGATACCATCTATAATGGTGGTGAAGTCATGACAACACAAGAAGGAAGCTGACTGATTAGTTTCAACCACAACACCATTTAGAAACAAAGAACAAGAAATGGATTGAGGCAATAGACATTAGACATTCCAATCCCATCCCCAATGAGGAATTTCATCAAGAAAGGTTCCTCCTACTAAAGATTCCACAAGCACCCCAAAGAAAACCACCAAGGAGAGCCACATGTTCAACTGCATCATCCTATTTGGGAGCTTTTCTTGATTCAGTCAACAAGAATCTGACCCAGGTCACCATAGGCTCAGGGCCATCCATGAAGAAAATGCATTTAGTCACGTCAATGATCCTCATAGTCTGCAACAGCCCCTACAGTGTTCAAATGTCCAAAGTCTCTTTTGATACTCAAGACAATCTCTTGACTGTGTCATCTTGTAAAATCACAAAACAAACTAAATTTTTCCAAAATACAATGGCACAGAATACCCATTCCCATTCCAAAGAAGAGGAATTGAAACATAGTGAGGGAAGATTGGACTAAGGCAAGACTAAAACCCAGCAGGGCAACATTCAAATCCAGTAGCTTTGTGTCAGACACATGAGGTTTCAGTTTCAAAGGGCTTAAATGGCTGTATCACCACAACTTCCCATACATCTCACTCTTTGGTTACATTCACTCCATATATGCAGCTCTCCATGGAAGATGTCTCATAGATTAAGTATTTCAACATCATATGTTCTCAAAATACAGCCCAGGCTTCACCCTCACAGCATCATTCAATGAAATCTGTCTCTTCACTGAAGCTCTGATTTTATCAAACACAAATCCCTACAACAGTGCTGAACAGAAATCACAGAATAAGAATGAATGGCCTTAACTTTTGCATCTTTCTTGTTTCCAGAACAAGTACAACATTGATGACTCCCCCAAATTTGCCTTCTAAGTTGTGATGGACCCTACCATGATTGGTCCAGAGTTGCAGCAGGCATTGTATAAAGTTGCTTCCTGGAACTAGAAGTCACTTTGCCCAAACCTTCCATTAACCAAAGGCATAGAAAGATGGATTCTTACCCTTTGCGTAACTTGCAAAGCTTCTAATGAAGAGCAAGGGCCTTCTCTTTAATGGTGACAAGCTCCCTAAAAATTCCTATCTCTGTTCAGCACTTGACTGCCATCTGAGACTACCTACTGTTGTTTTTATCTATAACCCACAGACATTTTGTCTTTATTTTATTTTACATACCAACAGCTTCCCCTCCCTCCTCTCCTCCTGTTCCCACCACCATCTCCCTTCTACCCCCTACCCATCCACTCCTCCTCCATCTCCATTCAGATGGGGTAAGGTCTCCCTCGGGAATCAACAAAGCATGGCAGACCAAGCTGAGGCAGGAACCAAGCTCCTTGCTGCTGCATCAAGGTTGAACAAGGCATCCCACCATAAGGAATAGGTTCCAGAGAGCCAGCTCATATTTCAGGGATAGGTCCTGGTCCCACTGCTAGGGTTCCCACAAAAGACAATAAGGTAGTCACCAATCTTATTGCAGGGGAAGGCCAGTTCAGGCACCCTTTCCACTACTGCTAGGAATCTTCGCTGGGATCATCCTTGTGGGTTCCTGGGAGACTTCCCTGGCACCAGATTTCACCCTAGCCCTATAAGGTCCCACTCTTTCAGGATATCTCTTTCATTACCCCCCCCTACTCCATCCTGCCCCCAACTCAACCATCCTGACCCCTGATTTTCCCATTCCCCATCCCATTCCCAATACTCATCCCCACCACTCATTTACCCAGGTCATGTCATCTATTTCCTCTTTCCAGGGAGATCCATGCATTCCTCTTAGAGTCCTGCTATAGGCCTAAGCATCAAAAATTAACCAATGGTAGTAAAACTACCATGCTCTGTACATGTGGAAAGATCACTTTGATCAGCGCTGTGGCTAGAGCATCTCCCCTAGGATCCTGATCCTTTAATAAGAGACTTCTGTTAGAGACTTCAGCTAAGATACTTCGCACAGGTGAGCAGCCTTGGTGAGATAGGCTTAGGACCATAGTGGGAACTCAGAGTGTGAACCTCGTATAATGAACAACAGTATAATAAAATACAACCTTTGTTATACTAACTATTCATATCTGTCTTCTTGCTCACAAGAGGTAGAATCACTTTCCTATGATGGATGATTAGATGAAAGTCTGCATCAGAGTAAGGAAAAGAAAACTTTTCCAAACAAAACACAAGATGACAGATTTTTAAAGAAACAATGTACTGATTTGTATTATACACTAAAAGCAACTTGTTTTGCTATCATTGCACTATAAGTCACAAGTACTTTTAAAAACAAATTTATCCCCATTTTTTATGTGTATGTTTATATGATCGAGAGAACATCTTCCATTTGTGTACAAGTGACACTCCAGAAAAGAGGCTATCAGATCCTCTAACCTAGAGTAGCAGGTTATGAGCCTCCTGATTTGGGTGCTGGGATCTGAACTCAGATCATCACCAAGAATTTGTGTTGAGCGACCTACCAAGCCCCATACTACATTTTATCCAATTATCTAAAAGTCTTTCACAGATTTATATCTACAATAAAACCTAAATGAATGATCCTTGGGAACATGATTCATCAATATTAAGATGTTGTTTATGGTTAATTTGTGCCATGAATCAAATACAATCCAAAGACAATGCCCAACAATTTGTAACAGGAAATCTGATTGCAAAGATACATGCACAATGGAAACACTAAGAATGCTCAATGGGATTACGAGAAACAGTACACATATTGACATAATGTGACTTCTATACTTATCACAAAAAATACAACAACAAACAATGTGCCCAATATTTGTGAAAGATTAAGGATGATGGAGAGAAAAAAGGCAAGAACAAAAGCAGAAAAATAAGGTCAACTTTTCATCAAAAGAACAAAAGAAATTCAGCCAGGAAAACTGATTTTGTTTAACATTACACAGCTGACTATGATTCTATATGCATAGAAATTAAATAAACATAGATTTTTACAAGTCCCACAAAATTATCTCAAAGTGACCCTTAAACTGTTAACTTTCTGACTGACCATCCAGCTACTGATATTTCTTCCAGAGATGCACCATGCTCTAGAGCTATCTGCAAATGGAGGTGATTTCCTCCAGAGTCTACTAAGGCTCTACAGTCTCTCTTGCCCCATTGTGGTTCAGGCAAACCCAGCCCCAATGATGCCCAATCAAAAAACAATGTAGAAGAATAAATTAATGTCTGCTTCCTGTTGCATGGAGTATGGCAAAAGATGTGACATCTGTGCTATTCAGCTGTCCAACACCATACAAACCTAAGATACTGTTACAACTCAGAAACTCCTTTTGTGCCATAGAACTTGAACTTTACTGAATCACACCATGGTGGCTGGCAGTAGCAGAAAGTTGAAAACATTCTAATCATGTACTGCTGAAGGATAGAGCCCATCACCTCCTTTCTACCAGTTTCTAAACTGACTGTAATATTTGTAAGACAAACCTGAAAGTGGAATGTAACATTCAGAACTTCTAGAAACTAGGCCTTCAGTTTTCCAAACTGTCTTCCCACTGCACAACAGAAGCAAGGCTTATATGTGCACACTGGACAATGATATTACCAGGCATCACAGTCTCTGATGTTAGGGTGGCAGAGTCTCCCCATTCCCAAGGAATCCACACTCAACAAAACTCACAGGCCAAAGACCACTGCCCAAGTCACCACACGGATCAAAAGAACCTCAGTCTGGCTCATGGTCCATCCCAGTCCAAGAAGCTCTGACAGCTCAGCCAACCTGTTATTCTTGGTCTGGGGACAGTGGTCCCCCCACTCACCATGGCATAGCTTGTGGTCTTCCTTACAGCTCCCTACAGCAGAACAAGAGGAGAATCCTGGAACAAACCTGTAAGCTACCTCTCACTGGTGCCCCTGATTGCTAAGCCTTCCCAGATACCCAATTAGCTTGGGCCACCCAGTCTGGATTCAGGATATTAGCAGTTACCCTACTAAGTGAGCGGAGATCAAATAACTCAGACCTCGCAGGCCCTCCCAGCTATACCCTTCCATACTAAGGTCAGACAGGGCCCTAATCTGGGAAATTTGTAGTTTAATAAAATCCTCCATTCTCCCAGGGTACTTCAAGTTCCTCTCCCAATGCACAGGGTTCGATGTGTGTACACATTCCATTACACACTCAATGCCCAGTATAGCCAACCCTTTGCTTCATAACTGGGAAGTTCTGCAGCCAAACACAGGTCACATTCAAACAGTAACTGTTGCTAAATGAAAAGAGGCCATGGATTAGAACACAATGAAGGGAGGGCTTTGAGGCAGGAAAGAGATGGTGGAAATAATGTAATTATAATCCAGAACACTATTTGGAAAAGTTGAAACAGGCTTTATGTCCATATGCTACAGAGATTAGGGATTGTATTAGAGCACACCAAGTACTGCACTCACTATTTCTCTCAGGGTATACATCTTAAGCCCGAAAACACAATCATGTTAGGCAGGGTCACACCATTTTATCAACTTTTTCTATTTAGGCTGAACTGGTGTAGCTACAGTAATTGATTTCATGATAAGTTCAGTTTTTTTTAACCAGATTCTTGATTGGCTTGTCTGAGAACCCAAGAAATGGCCAGTCAGAATATTTATTGATCATTGACAATTTATTGCCTCACTACTCATTGCTAATGTCAACTACTGTCACAGCAGGAAATTTCCACCCTACTTCTGGCCCATCCCTTTCTATGCTGTGACTGTACCTGCTTTACAGTTGGCCAGCGAACTCAGTTCTTACACAGGTCCCACTCCATTTGTAAATTCACAGTAAAATCTAGAGAAGCTGGGGGATACTCATTCACTGGTCTATTTTTCCTTCCCATAGACCAGCTAAGAACCAGCCTGGAAGGAGTTTCAGGACTGTCTTCCCAGCACTGAGCAGCAGAGGTAGGATTAGGTATTCAAAGCAATTCTCAATAATATAGTGTGAGAGAAGCCTGAGCTATGGGAGACACTGATCTAAACCAGTGGTCCTCAACCTTCCTAATGCTGTGACTTTAATACAGTTCCTTATGATGTGGTGACCCCCAACTATACGATTACTTTTACTCCTACTTCAGAAGAAGTATAATTTTGCTATTATGAATTGTAAAATAAATATTTGTGTTTTCTGACGGTCTTAGGTGTGACAGGGTCATCTGAGCCCTGAAAAAGAGCCACACCCCCCCAGGTTGAGAACCACTGATCTAAACTGATATAGATAGATAGATAGATAGATAGATAGATAGATAGATAGATAGATAATAAGAAAAATGGAATGAAATTTTTAAACCAGAAATGTTGAAAAATAGAAACAAATAAAGATAAGAGAAATAATGCATTTAGAGAAAATAAAATTTTAAAATACCAACAATTGACTTTTTAAAATGATAAAAATAATTGGAAGAACACTTAGCTATATTAGCTTTGAAACAGAGTAGGCACTTCCCTGGTAGGGAGAATGCCATTAGTAAGAGGCTGTATGACTTTTGTTGCATGTAAAATGTTAGCCACTGAGAGCTATAAGCTGACACATGGAGTTACAGCCAATGGCCTGTGTCTCAAACCTCTGAGCTTACTTAACTATTTCAACCAGGATTGCACATATCTGGATAGGAGAGTTCGTTAATCGGAAACTGGATACTTAGTAGTTCAAGCTATTTTCCCTAAACTGTACACCCACCAATTCTGTCTTCATTCAACATGCAAGGAATTGATACATGCTGGGAAATTACACAAAAAGTCACTCACCCTACCCCATCAGGTCCTTCTTCGCAATGGATATCCCTGCAGCTCACTGGCTTAAATTTCAGTCTGTGATCTAGCTAATATACAGTCTGTTCCCCTCTGCAGTGTACACAGGGCACTGTTCCTCCTCTTCTGGTCTGAAGGGAGAAGCCATGCTCCACACACAAATCTTTTCCCTGTACTGCAATGGACAGTCCACTATGTGACTCGAACTGGTAATTTCAGAACTCTGTGGTGCTGCAGAGCTGTAATCCAAGAATTTAGGATGTTCAGTCAGGAGGATAGCAAAGGCAATGCTCTGTGGGGCTACAGACAGGGTTCAAGACCACCTCAATCAACATAGGAGACCTTGGCTCAAGACTGTTTTTCAAAAAAGTTTGAAATGCAGCTGTTGTAGAATTAACATACCTTAATGGCACACCAGGACTTAATGTTGGTTGTGACCCTTGAGCAGCATGTTAGAGGCCTTTGATGGGAAGGTGGGCTTTTTGGCTGGTTGCAAATCAGAGCTGTCTCATTTGTTATGGGAATGTAGCCTAATGACTGATTAATCCTGGTGAACAAATATCATACCAATCTCTAATAGGCATGGTTAGCATACTATTTATCTTTGGGATATTTACCTTACCTAAATTCTGCTTTGTATGACTTGATGTCTACTAAATATTGGTAAATCCTTACAACATCAATTCTACTCTTCTACATCACCATTTAACAGTGAACACTACTCTCTACACAGGAGATACCTTTTCCAAGTTCCACAAAATTAACTCCAGACGGATCCTAAACCTAAATGTTAAATGTTAGAAGTGTAGAACTTCTGGAAGATAATAGAGAGACCAGGGCTCTTCGAGTTTGGCAGATCTGGGGATGTCTCTCCACAGTGACAATATAAGCACTACAGGCACCAGCATTTCACAGTGATGTCAACAAGGATATTTCTAAGCACAGTTCTGCTCCCAAAGTTCTGCGCAAACGCAGCCCGGGGAACGAAATTATTAAGAGGCAGTCCCCACGGCCCAGGGAGTTGCAATGACCACCCAGGACCACGTAAGACCAGGCAGAAACAAGCTGAACTCTGTGTCTGGCCACTGGCTCCCACCTAGCCAGGGGAGGACCCACCACACCGGCTTCCCAGGCTCAGCCGGCCGCTCCACCCAGTCTGGGGACAGCGGCTCTTCTCTCACCGAGACCAGACACACCTTCCCACACGAGAGGCAGCAAACCCTCGCTCACCAGGGCCAGCCACTCCTCCCTATCTGTGGAGAGCAGCCCCTCGCTCACCATGGTGAAGCTGAGGAACTGACCCCGCTCTCTCCACAACAGAGCCCAAGGTGTAGCGCAATCGACCTCTTCCGACTTCCTCAGAAGAGTTCAGCCAGAAGTCTGACTCCCGGGAAGAACCCTCCCATCTGATTGGCAGGTCACCTGGAGGTTATGATTGGCTAGTGGGGCCTGAGTGACAGGATCATGTGAGCTGAAGGGACCCGGCACAGTGGTTCCCAGCCCTGGCTTCCAATCTAAGGATTGCGCGGTGATTTGTTACTAAATTGTTAGAAATCTTTCGTTCTGTGATTTGCTTAAACGTTTGAATTGCACTTGAAAGGATTATTTTTAAAATTCACTTTTAAAATTCAAATACACCCCAGTGTTGGTTACTACGTCGAAAGAATGTCATTGTGTATAGTTTCATGAAGTCTGTGATACTCAGCTGTATTTTTTTTAATTAAAATAAATCATGTCAAGAAAATAGAAGGAGAGAGGGAGAGAGAGAGAGAGAGAGAGAGAGAGAGGAAGTCGCTGTTGAATTTGGCGCAAATCCCTACGCTGAGCCTGGCGTCCCCCGCTGGAGGGCGGGGAGGGGAGGGGACTTTCCTGCGCCCTCTTGCTGCTCGGCCGGTGGCCTCCAGTGGACTGGAGAGTACCACAGGCTGAGCCTGTCTGGGCTGAGGAGGTTGGCGCAGGCCAAAGGGTTCACAGTGGCAGGGACATCGCGGGACCGCTGCTCCAAGCCACAGGGCGGCTGCATGGTCCTACATGCCAGGCACCACACGGTGGATATCCCTGGACTTCTTGGGTCGTAGAACCGCTAAACCGGCACGAATATTGGTAAGCAACTCAGGGTTGAGAACAGACATGGATGAGACTAAGCGTAGTGACTACACACAACCAAGTGGGACACAGTCCCTTGGAGCTCTCCTCACCCCCACCATACCCAAACCTGTAGAATGGATGTCTGAGTGCCCAGCTCCCGCCCCGGAATCAACTTGCCCCACTGTGGCACCCTAGTGTGCCCGCCCTCCCTCCAAGCCTGAGGCCAAGACAGGATTTGCTCCACACACAAATCTTTTTCCTGTTACTGTAATGGCATCTGTTCTAGGCTTGCTCCTCTTTTAGCATTAGCCAGAGATGGATGCACACTGTATCAAAGAGATTGTTGTTTATTAATTACTTATGTATATGGAATGATTTATTCCTGGGAAGAGATATTAATTCTAGAATAGCAGTACTTCCAGTCATTAAGAAAATGTTTCTGAGACAAGCTCTCTTAAGTTGGCTCAGGTGTGTTGCTTTCCAGGCCAATGACCTTGCCATCCTCTTGATTAAACCAACTAAATTCTTAAATTAAAGGGCTGTACCATCACTAAATTTTAAAATTCACCCTTTGAGTCGTGTAGTCAACTATCCATTGCATTAACAGGTATAGAATTTACGTGTAAAACATGGCTTCTGTCTGCAGACCAGAATAGGAGAAATAATTTCTTGTGTGCACTGCAGGGATAAATAGGATAAGAAATCAGCTGCTGTTGTTACCATTATTAAATAGGATCTGATTGTGGCAGAGATAGTGATATTGTAATTTCTCAGCATGTATTAGATCATGTCATGTGAATGAAGGCAGGCCAGATTGGTGGGTGTACAATTGGGGGGGGGGCAGTTAGCTTGAGCCAATGATTACTGAATTTCCAAATAGGGGACTCTCCTTTGCAGATGTTTTCAGCCCTTTTCAGCACAGTTAAGTCAGCTCAGAGGATTAAAACACAGGTCATTGATGTAACTGTGTGTGTCAGGTTACAGAACTCAACAGCTAACATTGCACATATTGGACAAGGTCAAACAGTATTTTATTGATGCCAGTCCTCTACCAGGGAATAACCTGCTCCTTTTCAAAGCCAGGATATCTATGAGTTTTCAATTATATTTATCTTTATAAAATGTCAATTATTAGTTTCACTTTTTAAATTTGATTTTCATTAAATGCATCACTGCTCTAATCTCTTATTTATTTTATTCTATGTAATTCCCAGTTATTAAGAAAAATTTTCCATTTTTCTCAGGTGTGGCTGGTTGTTCATTTCTATTTAGAGCAGTTTCTTCTGTAGTTGTGTCTCTTCTCACGCTATCTAATTTAGAATTGCTGAGAAATTGCCACACTGACATCCAAAGGGGTTGTTTCAGCTTGCATTCCCACCAGCAATGCAGAAGTGTTCCCTTTTCCCCACAACCTCTCCAGCATAAGATGTCATCAGTGTTTTTGATCTTGGTCATTCTTACAGGTGTAAGAAGGAATCTCAAAGTTGTTTTGATTTGCATTTCTCTGATGACTTAGGATGTTGAACATTTCCTTAAGTGTCTTTCAGCCATTTTAGATTCCTCTGTTGAGAGTTCTCTGTTTAGGTCTGTACTCCATCTTTTTTATTGGATTATTTGTTTTTTTGATGACCAATTTCTTGAGTTCTTTGTATATTTTGGAGATCAGCCCTCTATCTGATATGGGGTTGGTGAAGATCTTTCCCATTCTGTAGGCAGCCATTTTGTCTTGTTGACCATGTCCTTTGCTTTACAGAAGCTTCTCAGTTTCAGGAGATCTCATTTATTAATTGTTTCTCTCAGTGTCTGTGCTACTGGGGTTATATTTTAATGGCGAATCAATCCCACGCCAGTTATGTTTTAAGGGGTTATTTATTTTGGGGGGTAAAACTTACTTACACGATAAACCGTCAGAAAGGGAGCCTAGTCGCTGGAGCAGGAGCCGGGAGCAGGAGCCGGAACCAAGCGCCAGAACCAAGAGGCCGAGCCAAGCTTGCCGCTCTTCTTTTAAAGAGAAATATACCATGCCCCAGTGGGCTGGTATTTCAGCTGGTATTGGCTGACGGAGTGGGCTCGTGCTCCCGCAGCAATATTTAGGAAGTGTTCTTCTGTGTCAATGCATTCAAATGTACTTACCACGTTCTCTCCTATGAGGTTCAGTGTGGTTGATTTTATGTTGAGGTCTTTGATCTATTTGGACTTGAGTTTTGTGCATGGTGATAGATATGGATCTGTTTTCATTTTTCTACTTGTTGATAGTCAGTTATGCCAGCACCATTTGTTTAACATGCTTTTTTCCCCCATTTTATATTTTTTGCTTCTTTGTTAAAAATCAGGTGTTTGTAGGGGGATGGATTGATATCCGGGCCTTCGATTTGGTTTCATTGGTCCTCTTGTCTGTTTTTATGCCAGTACCAGGCTGTTTTCAGTACTGTAGCTTTGTAGTAGAGTTTGAAGCCAGGGATTGTGATGCCTTCAGAAGTTCCTTTGTTGTATAGGATTTTTTTTTTTAGCTGTCCTGAGTTTTTGTTTTTCCATATGAAGTTAGGTATTGTTCTTTTGAGGATTGTGAAGAATTTTGCTAGGATTTTGATGGGCATTGCATTGAATCTGTAGGTTGCTTTTGTTAAGATTACCATTTTTACCATGTTAATTCCACCTACCCAAGAGAGCATGGGAGATCTTTCCTTTTTCTGGTGCCTTCTTCAATTTCTTTCTTCAAAGATTTGAAGCTCTTGTCATACAGGTCTTCCATTGTTTGGTTAGAGTTACCCAAGATATTTTATGTTATTTGTGGCTATTGTGAAGGGAGATGTTTTTCTGATTTCTTTCTCAGCCCTTTTATGATCTGAGTACAGGAGGGCTACTGACTTTTTTTTTGTTAATCTTGTATCCTGCTACATTACTGAAGGTGTTTATGAGTTGTAGAAGTTCCTTGGTAGAATTTTTGGGGCTACTCATGTAAACTATCATATCATTAGCATATAGTGAGACTTTGACCTCATTTTAATGATTTATATCCCCTTGATCTCCTTTAGTTGTCTTATTGCTCTAGCTAGAACCTCAAGAACTATATTGAATAGATATGGAGAGAGTGGGCAACTTTATCTTGTTTTTGATTTCAGTAGGATCGCTTTGAGTTTCTCTCCATGTAGTTTGATGATGGCTGTGTTGGCTTGCTGTATATTGCCTTATTATATGTAGGTATATTCCTTATATTCCTGCTCTCTCCAAGACCTTTATCATGAAGAAATACATTTTGTCAAAATCTTTTTAAGCATCTAATGAGATGATCATATGCTTTTTTTTCAGTTTGCTTATATGGTGGATTACATTGACAAATTTTCATATGTTGAACCATCCCTGCATGTCTACCATGAAGCCAACTTGGTGATGGTGGATGATTTTTCTGATGTGTTCTTGGATTTGATTTGACAATATTTTATTGAGTATTTTTTCATCAATGTTCATAAGTGAGATTGGTCTGTAATTCTCTTTCTTAGTAATGTCTTTGGTTTGGGTATGAGGGTAATTGTAGCCTCATAAAAAGAGTTTGGCAATGTTTCTTCTGTTTCTATTGTGTGGAACAATTTGAGGAGTATTGGTATTAGTTCTTTGAAAATTTTGTAGAATTCTGTGCTGAAACCATGTGATCTTGGGATTTTTTCAGTTGGAAGACTTTTGATGACTGTTTCTATTTTTTCTTAGCAATTATAATTCTATTTAATTTGCTTATCTGGTCTTGATTTTAATTTTGGTAAGTGATATTTATTCAGAAAATTGTCCAAATCCTTTAAGTTTTCCAACTTTGTGGAGTACAGGTTTTCAAAATACGACCTGATGACTCTATGGATTTCCTCCGTGTCTGTTGATATTTCCCCCTTTTCATTTCTGATTTTGTTAATTTAGATATTCTGTCTCTGTCTTTTGGTTAGTTTGGATAAAGGTTTGTCTATTTTGTTGATTTTTTTCAAAGAACCAACTCTTTGTCTTATTCTTAGTATTGTTTTCTTTGTTTCTATTTCGTTGATTTCATCTCTCAATTTGATTATTTCCTGCCATCTAGTCATCCTGGGTGAGTTTGCTTCTTTTTTTCTAGAGTTTTCAAATGTTCTTCTAACTCACTAGAGTGAGATATTTCAAGTTTCTTTATGTAAGCAATTAGTGCTATAATCTTTCCTCTTAATACTGCTTTCATTGTGTCCCATAAATTTGGGTATATTGTGTAGCCATTTTCACTGAAATTTAGGAACTGTTTAATTTCCTCCTTTATTTCTTTCTTGACCCATT